CTCTCTCTCTCTCTCTCTCTCTCTCTCTCTCTCTCTCTCTCTCTCTCTCTCTCTTCTTCCATTCCTTACCTCATCCATTCTCCTTCCATTCCATTCCATTCCTCCTTCCTTTCTCCCACTTCCTCCCTTCCTCACTCAATTCCTTTCCTCCCTTCCTCCCTTTCTTTCCTCAGTCTGTTTTTCTCTTCCCTCTTCCCTCTTTATTTCTCCACCTCCCCCATCACCCTTACTATTTTCTCTCTCTTACCATAAAAAAAAACTCTCACCTTTGGTAAGCTTGCAATAAACTGATGGATATTGGCTGACCTGGCAGCCTGTTCAATTTCCTTATCACTGACTTTTCTTGTAGTATCACCATAAGCAATATTTTCTCTGATGGTCATGTCAAATAACACTGGTTCCTGAGATACTATACCAATTTGATGACGTAACCATTTGATGTTCAAATCTTTTACATCATGAGCATCCATTGTCTAAAAATATAGCGTATAACGTATAAACAGATTGTGGGTTTCAGTAATCGTTAGACAGCAAATGGTGATCACCTTGAAAGCAGTCAAGACTTATATAGCAAATTAAACTACCGGTACAGTTTTATCATTTTTTCGATAAAGATTTATCATTATTTTTAAACTTGGATAGCAGCTATAGGTTGACGACCATCAGCTGCATGACAACCTAATTAAATTCTTGATCCTTGCATCAAAACAATTCATCTTACCACACTTCCGGAGCTTACGTCATAGAACCGTTCGACCAATGAGATGGTAGTACTCTTGCCACAACCACTTGTACCAACCAATGCTACAGTCTGACCTGGCTTCACGGTGATATTCAAATTACGTAATACTTTGATTTTACGTCGAGTTGGGTATCTGAAACCGACTTCATTTAACTTGATTTCACCTTTGCATTTCTCCTGCAAGAATCGAAATACTTTGCGTTAACGTCAACATAAAGAATAATTATTTTGGGTTAGACACTCTCTCTTCTATAATTATCAATCCTGATCGCACACCTCAATATTCGTAATTACAAAGAATAAGGCCCAGGAGGGCAAACAGGGTTTCCTTTCCGAAAGGCCAACTAGAGAATCTTTTTTTCAAAATTGGGAAACATTCAAGGAATGTCTGAGACCTTCCCAGTTTTATGTACAATAGTGGTCGGGTTGTGATTGGGGTGAAGACGAAAGAGAAATATTTCGTGCGCGATATTACCAGAATTTTAAAATGTTAGGGCAGCAATATTTTCTAGTCTGGACCTCAGACTGGACCCAGTTGCCAGACCAGCAAAATGAACATTTTTCTTTGCTTTTCTATATGGAGATAAAATAAAAGTTAGACATTGTTATGATAATGTAAGAAAAAATGGACTAATAAACCAACAATGTGATAACACATCCTTATGTCCGTTGCCATCTAATTCATATCATGCTACAAAAGGATAGAGTTGATTCTCACCTGTAAGGTTCGGCCATTGCTGTACGATACCGTTCAAAGAATTCCTCCTCTCGACCTAAGGATACGACTGTTTGAATGTTGGATAATGTCTCCTCTGCAACCTGTAACAGAAACAAAGAACATTGTTTTGCTAGTGTTTTGCTTTGCACTGTTTTGCGAGGTCGCAACGAATATATTCCACTGTTGGCGCATATACCCCTCAACTCGGCGTCCGGGGTTTAATTCCTACAATATCCAGGTGTCTGATGATAATTTCACTTCATTCACATGCGAGAAAACAGGCCAGTTGGACTCTACACCGCAAGCTTTTTTTCGGAGTACACCGGTGTCCTGTAATAACGCTGGACTAATAATGGATCTGGCCCTTACTGAACTTCAGTTTAGAACTGATAGAGCTATCCAGCGTAAACAAAGTTAGTTTCTTTTATTGTAAATGTTTCCCTGCTGTAACACTGGGGTGATGAGGGATAACCCCTAAAACTGATGGACCTATCCAGTATAGATAAAATTAGTTCAAAAGAGTATTTCCCAGCACTATAACGCACCCCCTTTCAACAATATTACGACTCCCAGGTCAACTCCAGATTACCTTAGCGGCGTCTTCTTCCAGATTTCCCCGGGTAACAGAGCCCAGAGCGGCCATGAAAAACACACCAGACATTACCATAAGAGGCGCAAATGACGTCATCACTAAACTTAGTTTCCAGCTGTTGACAAAAGAGACAAGCAGACCTCCAACAACGGATACAAGAGTGGACGAAATGAAGCCCAACTGAGAACCGGTCGCCTAGTAAAGCACAAGGCCATATTTTGGTATACAACGTTTCAACAACAGTTTAACTCCTATTAAACGGACACCTTTGGGACCTCACACATTTGTCTATTTAAGGGAGGTGTCTGTGTCAGGGGTTGTAGTAGTAGTGTAATAATAGCAACTGCGGCCTGCGTAAGCAATTACGAAAATTAACATCTCTACCTACCCCTTGAACTGCGGACACGTCTGTAGACAGCCTGCTACACAGAGCTCCTGTGCTGTTCTTCGGTTTGTCAAAGTAGGAAATTTTCTGAAGCAAAAAAAATCTTGTGAGGGTATCTACAACGATTTCTCAAAATTTTGACTAATTATTAGTCATAGATAGATCAGCCTTATCTAAAAAGCAGTTTTTAAAGGGATGTGTGTGTGCATCTTTTTAGGTGGTTCACCATTTTATAATTAGCCCTAATATTATTTCAAAAATCATGGTACTTCATGGTACTTGTTGATACAACAGTACCTGTCTGAGAACAGCCAAGAATGACCATTTCCGTAACCGTTGCGTGAGAGCCTCGCCTGATTTGGCGAACATCCAGTACTATAGGAATATACAAATCTAGTTGACTCAAAAAGTACACTGTCACATAAATTATCTATAGATTTATACTACACGCGTAAAAACGCACAGCTTGTAACAAGTCTGCAAACAAGTTGTTATAAGTCTGTTCACAAGCTGTCAACAAGTTGTGTTCGCACTGCTTGTTCCCAGTTTGTTGTAACAAGTTTGAAACAAGCTGTTAACAACTTGTAACAAGCTTGATGGTATTATCAGCCTTGTTACAAGACTGTGCTAACAAGTTTTTTACAGCCATGATGTAACAAAGATGTTACAAGGTTGTCAACACAAGGTTGTAACAAACTTGTTATATCATGACTGTATCGGGCTTGTTGGAACAACCTTGCAACAAGTCTGATAATTTCAACACGGTTGTTACAAGTTGTCAACAAGTTGTTCCAAACCTGTTGACAACTTGTGACAAGCAGTGCGAATACATCTTGTTGACGGCTTGTTGGCAGACTTGTTACAAGATGTGAGAGATTTTTACGTGTGTAGATACGGACCACGTGTCCCAGTGTCTTAAACCTTGGTCAAATAAGAGTTGGCAAGCGAGAGTTTGTAGAAGAGTTTTCTCAACTCTCACGCCCCGGTAAAACGAGAAAAAGAGTTGCATGAGAGTTGATGTGAGTTCACTCAAAATTACGTGCGCGTAGAGAAAACTCTCATCAAAAATTGAACCAAACATAGTTCATGAGAGCCGATGAAAGTTGGCAGAAAACCTCATCAGAGGTTTGAAACCAAACCTTCATCAAACCTTCTCAGAGTTGGCGAGAACTTCATCAACCCTCATCCTCAACTAACAAGACGAACTATCCACAAAAGCTAGCTAGAACAGCACTGGCAAGAGTTTTGGCCATCATGAAAGAGGTGTTTTGTTATAATAAATTACAATTTGTTACAAGATCCGGGCTTACGGATCGAAAGCTTTGCCAAAATAAGTATACGTGGCGTTTCCCACAAACCAATGCGTACGTTATACTATCGCCAAAGAACTTCGATAATAAAACTCACTTGGAAAAATATTCCAATTCCACTACCTACTCCCAATACGAAGAAAACCGAGGCCCATTTTACCGAGTCGTCCTCCATATTTTCTCGTTCAGATGGAATTTTAGGATCATAGGCAAATGTCTGCAAAGAAAAGTAGCATAAGATAAGAAATGATCCATTTCCAGGTAATCGGTCAAACTTCGAAGTGTTTTGCATGTGATTCAAACCCACAGCACAGCAGCTTTTTATTGTTGAATGTCTAGAATACCCTCAAGTTTGAGATATTTTTTACAGGTAGAATACTGCCTCCACTGAACCCCCAGTTTGAGATATCTTTCTGAGGCAGTTCAGATATAAACCACGACAGCTTATTGTAGAGTACTACCTGCACTGGACACAAAGTGAAGAAAATACAGAAGTAACATACGAAAAACGAACGAACCTCAAAGATACCTCCCATGGCAATGCCATAGACAAAAGGACACGCTCCATACGATGCGCTACCAATACAGCCAATCACAATGTACCAGAATTCGGGCAAGTTATATTTCAAGATTTTAAAAAACGACATCGGTTTTACAGCCTCAATTTCATCTGTCTGAAAATAAATGTAATGAATTTTATCTTTTTGAACCAAATATTCTTTTTCTGATCGCACAATTTGTCCTCAGTTTCCGGCTCCTCCTTCTTCTCTTCCCGTTGTTTTGTCCCTATTTCCTTCATTCCTTCCCTTCTCTTCCTCTTTTTCTTCCTTCCTTCTCTCTTTCTCTCGTCTCCTTCTTCTCTTACCCTTCCTTCACTCCCTCCTTTTTGCATTCGTCCTCCCTTTTTTTCCTACTTCCTTCCCTTCTTCTTACTTCCTTCCCCTCTCCTCCCTCCTCCCCTCTTCCTTCCTTCCTACCCTTCTCCCTTCCTTCACTCCTTCCCTACCTCTTTACCTCCATCCTCCCCCTTCCTCCTCCTCACACCTTCTCTCTTCTTTCCTTCCCAATCACCTCCCTTCCCTCATTCCTTCCCTACTTCTTTACCTCCATCCTCCCCCATTCTTCCTCCTTCCCTCTTCTTTCTTTCCTACCCTCCTCCCTTCCCTCATTCCTTCCCTACTTCTTTACCTCCATCCTCCCCTCTCCTCCTCCTCCCTCCTTCCCTCTTCTTTCTTTCCTACCCTCCTCCCTTCCCTCATTCCTTCCATACGTCTTTACTTCCATCCTCCCCCTTCTTCCTCCTCCCCCCTTCCCTCTTCTTTCCTTCCCACCCTCCTCCCTTCCCTACTTCTTTACTTTCTTCTCCCCTGTCTATCCTTGCTTCCCTTCCTCCTCTCTCTTCTCCCCAAACCTTCTTACCACAATTGTCTTGGTGTGCCCAACAACACTGCTGCTGCATGTAAATGATCCAAGTTTAAACGCACCATCCACTAAAAATGCGAAACAAAAGTGATATTACAATTATTCTACAACAGGAGTCTATGAATTCTTTCTGCCAGTCGACCCTCAAATATCAAAGAAAAACCTTGAATACGTTACCTTTCTCAAGTTGAAAAGGTTGATTGGCTTCTTCTACATCATCTTCTACATCATCGCTTTCATTATAAGATCTGTCATCTACAGCTTTCTGTTCACAAGCAAAAATTGTACCATAAAATAAGAAATTGTGTCCTTGCACTCATTTCTCTCTTGTCAGTTCAGTGGTTGGTGGATATAGCTTCATCTCTTATATATTGTTTAATATAAGTATATAGTCCAATAAGTATCAGTGACAGTGTATTCTCTGTTAAGAACATTTAGTGTTTGCTTGTTTGCATGTTTTCTCTTTTATTAAGACTATAAGTTGGTTGCTTTCTTGATGAACTGCCGAAATTCATGCCTGCAGTTTTAGCTGAGCATGATCTACTTTCGGTTGTTCGTACATGGAGAAAGTGTCAAATACTGTCATGTTTATAATGTCACTTTAGACACTTGTGAGTTGTATGTCAACGCGTATTTCGACTTGTTATACTGTACTGTAAATATAATTTAGACATAGTTAGAAAATTGCCTAATTAGTAAATTGGGGCTTTCTCGAGGTATGAACAACTGAATTGTAGTACTGGTTAATACTTTACATTGTACCTATGATTTCATTTGTTCATACTCCTATAGGAAGTACTGAAAATAGTCATGTTTAATGTTATTGTTGTTGTGTCTATAGAGTTTAGGAGGACCAGATTGGAAAAAAGTTGTAACTTTATCTGTTTATCCTCAATAAATAAAGTGTTGTTATTATTATCTCTGTGACCGGGGTTCAATTCCCTTGAATATGCAGTTGTCTTACTATGATTTCATGTGTGAGACGAATGCTTCCTATTTAATTCTGCCAGCGGCCCTTAAATAACATAGCGAGAACAATTTAGAAATGGTACAGCTATGCAGTACGCATGTCTGCAATGTAGTTTTCTTGTCGCACCTGAAATCTGACAAGAGTTTTGTAAATTCCACTTGGTATCGCCATCAACTCTTCATGAGTTCCAGTTTCCGTCACGTGACCTTCTTTCACAACCACTATAATGTCGGCATTTCTGATTGTTGATAAACGATGTGCTATCACAATTGTTGTACGACCTTCACCTGCCTAAACGCATATTGTAAAACATACAATATGACAAAGTTAGTGGCACAATGTCGAGTGTACAGTATGTTTGATTAAATTATTTACATGAACTGCTTGTGAAAAGAGTGGTTTAATTTCAATACGACTCCACCAAGCATTGCTGAGTAAATTTAGAGGCAGTAAGATGTTTTAAATTTTGATTAACTATTGTTTACTCACATTAGGTTTACTCAGCCGATGAATGAGCACTATCAGAAACTAGACTTTCAACATATCACCTACTCGAATATCACCTACACCTTCGCGACAAATAAATGGGAAAAAATGTATTTGGATTGCATGGCTTGCAAGTGTCAACATTTCTGCCGTTGACTGCCATCTCCTGCCGTATCGTAACACTTACCGAAACCTTTCAATTTGCAACTCACGCGACGGTCCAATTTTTCACATGCCTTTCGCACATGAGGATTTTTTACAACGTTTATCACGTGAAACACCACTTACTCTATCCAAAGCTTCCTGTACGACAGCTTCACTCACGGAGTCCAGGGCAGACGTGGCTTCATCTAACAATAATATCTTGGGATTCCTTACTAAAGCTCGCGCTATGGCAATCCTTTGTTTCTGACCACCGCTCATTTGTGTACCTCGTTCACCACATAACGTTTCATAACCCTAGTGCATGGAAAAACAAGACTTGAAAATGCAATTTCCTAACTGAAACCAACCAATAGCAGCACTCCAAAACTATCAAGTTCTGTTACCTTTGGAAACTGTGAGATAAAATTGTGAGCATTTGCAGCCATGGCGGCTTTCTCAATTTCTTGTTGCGTGACTCCTTCTCGACCGTATGCGATGTTTTCAGCAATTGTTGTTGAAAATAAAATTGGTTCTTGGCTCACTACACCAATATGACTTCGAAGGTGACTGACATTTAGATGTTTTATGTTCTGACCGTCAAGTAAAACCTGAAATAAATGCGAAAAGTATACTTAAACTAAACTAATGCTACTCTAAACAGTGGTTCTTTCTGGAGGTACAGCTATTGGTTCGGTCTTACTAAACTGTAGGGAAACATGAACTAAACTAACCTTGTTATCTTGGATTCTCCACCAGTTTCTAAAGGTACACCATAAGCAGCCTCCCCTATTGGTCTAGTGTTAGTGCGGGGGGGGGGGGGTCAATGAAACCAGGTTATTGAGTTGAGGGGGGAGGCATATTCAGACGAGGCTAGGGCCTTCGTTCAAAATGTCAAATTTCTCTTAACATTTTTCATGTATAGCTGCATCGTACATACAAATTCGTAGTTTGGACACCAATACCGCGGTATGCCTTACACGTAGCAGACTTACCGAGCCTTTTTGAGGATCATAAAATCTGGAGATAAGTTTAACGACAGTACTTTTCCCACAGCCACTTTCTCCGACAAGAGCGACACGTTTACCATGCGGAACTTTCAGACTGAAATCTTTTAAAATCTGGTATACAGAAAATCGGATTAGTATTTTCGAGCTGTCGCCAGGGAATATAATGTTGAAAGGTTTTTGTAGATGGAAAAACTATTTATACAATAACTACAGTTGGGATGTTGCTCGACTTTCGAATATTTATATAATAACTACAGTTGGGATGTTGCTCGACTACTTGAGATGTTGCTCGACTTTCGGAAAGCGTAAAAATACACTCGCCTGCAGCGGCTCGAGTATTTTTACGCTTTGCGAAAGTCTCGCGACATCCCTCATGCATGGATCACGCAATCCTGCACGGAAAACCATTCGGTATTCCTTTAATACATATTTCTGTGTGGTTGCGAAAAATGGAACTATAGGCAGGAATTGAACCTGCTGTGTTGTGACGTAAACCAAATTTTGAAAAATAACATCTGTACTACCTGCACAGTAGGTCTTAAAGGATAGACGAAATCAATATCTCGAAATTCCACATCACCTATGACATCTGGTTTCATACCTGCAGCAGATGATGGGTCGATTGCAGAGTTCTAAATATTAAAACAATGGTAACGGTACAGCTTCACCGTTCTGGTACTTTCAACCTACAAGGATTGTGGGGATTAAATTCAGTTACACCTGAGTGAAAGCTATCACAAAATAAAGAGATTCTTACTCTGTCAATAATGTTGAAGATGATCGAGGCGACGCCTCGGGCACCAGCCAAAGCTTCCATACAGGGAGCTCCTTGTCCTAGCATTACCGAACCCACCATTACCATGAAAAACACCTACAGAGAGAGAGTGAGATAGGAAAAATCTTTCGGTTTCCTCCGGTCGGAACAGATAGAAAAAAGAGAAATAATCCTGCATCTACAACAGTACATACACTAGAAACATCGCCTGGTTCTACTTCATCATCTCTGACCAACCTTATACCATACCTGACGAAAAATAGAAAAAACGGTTTTCACTAGCCGAAAGAATATTTAGGAGAAATGCAAAATATATTTGAGACGTTCAAGGGTTCTTATACTGCTCAAAATGTGTACTTAATTCGCACTATACATGTAGACTTTTGTGGATGAAAGTAAAAGGGCTTGGAGCATTTTTAAACTGACTTGGAAAAATTGCACCAAAATATTTAGGTGGCGACTTAAAAATATCCTACCACAACGCTAAAGCGTAGTTTCCAAGAGAGCTCACTTGAAATATTCCCAAGCCAAAACCAACTGCAAGTCCTTTGTTTATTCCAAATTTACAAGAATTAGTCAAATGAATGTCGTACCTAAAACGAAACGAAAATTTATAAATTCTATAAATTTTATGGTAGAGATGTAACTATCTGAAAATACAAGGAGAAATTCGACACTTCGAGCGAAGGTTCTTCGTCCGGAAGTTGGTTAGAAACGTCGAACTTCTCTTTGTAATTTTCCGCAGGTAGTTGTATCTCTACCAACCACTTATTGGCATTACCTTGCCTGGTACAGACTGTTCAAAATTAAATTTTATGTATACTGTGGACGTCAGGGGGTGATTGCCTTTCATAAGCGCACTGGCTAGGCCCATGGCGTCAGCATTTTGATAACGAATCATTGCAAATCATGGCCACATATTTCAGTAAGTATGGACCAGATGTCTAACTTCAGTAAAAAAGTTGCCCCACGGTTGCCGTCTTCCTGGCAAGTGTCAAGTGTGCTCGCGTGATAATTCGTCACTTGGGTAATACTTAGTGTTACGCCGCCATCTTCCTAGCAAGTGTCATGATGTGTACAGCTTACAGCTAAAAACGATCAGGTTGTTGCAATATCGATGTAAACAGGATTGGACAATGTTGTGCTGCCCACATTGTTCACAGTTGTCAACAATATTGAACAATATTGTTACATCCGAACAACAGCGCAACATTGTTCAATCCTGTTAAACAGCAGGCTCATACTTTTTACGCGTACCCTACAACCTCAGGAGAACAGTTAAGAACTGACAGAGCCAGCCTTGCCTTAATACTTTTAAAAATATGTAAATTATACGTTACTTTTTAGTTTGCTCTGCCTCTCCACCAAATGCAGCGACAGTTCTGATTGAGGAAAAACTTTGTTCAGCTACACTTCCGGCTTTCGAGTAGGCAGCAAGTTCGTTTGCAGCAAAACCACCGATAATCTACAACAGAGTTGAGTAATTTGTTGTTCTGTAGGTTTGTGGACGCGATATGCTATATATCTACCTCGGTTTATCGACTTGTTTGTTTGTTTGTTTGTTTGCTTTTAAAGGTAGTGTATCACTGCAGGCAGTAGTATTCTACAATAAGCTGCCGTTGTTTGTGTCTGATAGGGTGTCCACCCTTTGGTGAAGGTGAAATTCGAGGACTTTTCCAGGACTTTCAAGGCCCTTTTTCAGTAAATTCAAGGACCTAGAACTGGGAAAAATCTTTGAAAATAATTCACTTTATTCAGTAATTTTAATCAAAATCACTAATATTGGCACAGCTGGAGGTTAACCTGGAATTTGTTTTCCAATTCAAGGACTTTCCAGGATTTTCAAGGCCCGTGGACACCCTGGTCTGATGGCTACATCTTTTTGTTGAATTTTGGTAAAAATCAGATTAAAAAATACCGCGTTGTGTTTTGTTTGCACATTACCTTTCCAAGTAATCCAGCACTTAGTGCAATAACAGGTAACACTGCCAGCATAACCAACGTCATTTTCCACAAATAGCAAAATCCCAGTATATACCCCGCAATGAATGCAGAAAAGCTACAGATAAGTCGACCAAATTTTGAGCCAATGCCATCGGCGAGTTTATTTAAATCCCTGAAGGAAAATTTAAGATGTTGCTTGCACATGCTTGGTGCGTGTTTCGCCTCTGTGAGCGAGGTTCCATTCCAGCCTATAATATTTGCATGCTTAATATAGCACTGCGAAATTTGCCGTTTTTCAGTCATTTTATATTACGCAAGGGAAATTGATAATGATACCACTTTCTGAAAAAAGGTATCAATTTCCCGTGCGTAATACAAAATGCGACTGAAAAACGGCAACTTCGCAGGGCTATATTATCCGCATTCTACAACATTTCGCAACGAAATTTCGGAATATTACTAATTTTGTGATGCTCTTTCAAGCCGTGATAAAATTTTTGTCTGGACTTGTCTAGATCAAAATTTTGTTCATTGGGGAATAGGTCCACTCTCACCCCATTTGATGAGTTTTTGCTCGTTTGACAGGTAATATCTAGTTCACTCTCACCAACTCTCATACAATTCTTGTTCTCGTTTGAGCAGGGCACTAGAGTTGACAAAGCAGTCATGAAAAATTATCTCTTTTCAATTCTCATCCTCGTTTGATCAGGGAAGAATGTGAGAATGCGTCCAGTTTGACCACTGCAGGACATCCCTGGATGAATGGGTTTCCTTGTTTTTGACTCACGCTAATGTTGCCACAGAGTAGATACATATGTATCTACTCTGTGATGTTGCGAAGCAACATCTGTGAGTCTTTGTGGTTACTTGAGTGTGGGGCAGTTAAACAATGGGAAATGACCAGCCTGCTTTGCGCGCACTGTTTGCCTGCGAATCGGGACTTTCGTTCTTTGATTTGGCGAAAGCCGCACCATTGAAGAAGCACGACAAATACTACAAATGGCAAAAATGCTCTAATTCTTTCTGTTACTTTCATTTGATCTCATCCGTGAGTCGGCCTCAACGGCCTTTGATTAGTTTGCCAACAGGCCTCTGTACTACATATAATAATACGTACTCTGTAAGCCTAGTTCCCAGCTCGCCACTTGGATGAGTATCAAACCAAGCAATCTCCTGATGGATGATATTTCTGAACATTGCTAGTCTCATTTTGTGGACTTGTCTCTCAGCAGTCAGGCCCCAAAGTCCTAGTCCCATCCAGGCAAACAAGAGATTCAGAAAGGCAAACGCAACGTACCACAGGCATACGGATGTCATGCTGTCCTCGAGATCAACTGGATTTGTGCAGTTCGTTCGTAGACACTGGACAAAATCTACAAAATCATCTGTGACCGATCTCATGAGAATAAATTGTGTGGGAGCTAGAACACCATAAGCTATAGATCCAAATGTTCCCAAGATCATGAGGATAACATCAACGTTGTCGCGGAAACAGAACTGTAAGGAAACAAAAGTGGAATGTGATTGTAAGATACGTTGGTGCGCATAATATAATATAGGCTTTATGATGTGATTGAGACGTTAGCCAGTTAGATAACGTGACGGGCTTCACGTCATTTTATGATGGGATAACGTCATGTCTGGCGAAGTTGATGACGTCACTCGATTATGACGTTGATGACGTCACTTTATGTTCATCGTAAATACGTCATGTCATGATTGTATTGATGACGACATTTTATGAGAGTGAGGATGACGTCATTCTGTAACAATAGCAATGAGGTACATTATAAACATGACCTTTTTCATGTTAATTGTGATGACGTTATAATTACGATGATGGTAATATCAATATGACGAGTTGATGACGTCACTTTATAATTGTGTTGATAATGCCGTCACTTTACAATGGTAGCAATGACGTCACTCGAAGATTATGACGTCATTATGTGAAACGTCACTCCATGATAATGATGATAACACTGACATGAACGGTACAGCATTACAGATGACAGTGGTACGATGTTATGGAAATGCAACCAAGATAACAACATACCAACTGTTTAAATGGCACCATGGAAATTTTCTCATGTTTTCTACAAGAAATTTTAAAAAAAATGGTTGTTAGAAGGTGACTTACAACGAACTTGTACTGATCATGTCTGACCTAGTGACACAGTGGTCAGTCCAGTACAAATTTATAATTGAAAAGAGTAAACATGAACTTACTCATCTGCAGGTGCAAATCTGACCTCAGGAGTAGACGTATCATGCTTCCCCGATGGCAGCAGTAACTGTGTTTTCTCCGAAGCCATGATAAACCGATATGCAAACCAATGTGAACTGAAAATAAAATACGTTCATTCAAATGTTAAACAGGCTGAGAAACGTCCCGTGCCAATAAAGCGGACCATGTGAAAGTCTGCATCCCCATAATCACGAGAAGCTCTGGCTACAAAACATGTGGACAAACATTTAATCATAGTTGATGAAGTGGGTCAAGTGGGTAGCATTTCCATGTTTGAGAAACATAATAAAGACTGAAGTATATATTACACATTCCGCCTAGCCAAGGCAGCTTACTGATATTTGACATATACCTTGCCATGTGGGGAAAATACAACATAGTTAAAACAGTACATTCAAGAAATAGCGTATTACAAAGCTAAATACTTATATAAGTTTCACAAACGGTATAAAATTTGTATGGTATCTATTGTATATATAAAATAATTCTACGGCAAAGCACACCAAAGGAATTCGAATTCTGGATGCCCAACAGTATGACAGTATTTACACAATTATATAGTTACACTGTACATGCACTTAATATTTAAAATTTTACAGCCGTTGTACATACCTCGTCCATATTGGATCAAACTGTAGCAGTGCTAGTGGTACTTGTCATGCAGGTGTAGTCTGGTGAAGACGTTCAACTGTCACTAACCGTGGATAAAAACGACAAGAAAATTTAACTACCAGCATAAAATTCAACACAACAGAAACCTGACAATAGACAGCGAGCACAATGGCACTTATAATTGCAAATTTGCGATAAATTCCATTGCTTTTCAATACTAATTGGTGGTACTATCCGTCTGTCTACAGGGTGTATCAAAAAAACCCCAAATCATTGAAATTGACGTATTGTTCGATATTCAATGCCCTAGCACTAAGTTAATCCCACGAGTGCATAAAAGATTGACATAACTGCTATAATGAATGGTAATACTCAGCGTAAACTTGTTATGTCAGGCATAAAGTACTAAACCCACGAATTTACGAAGCATTTTTAAATTCTCATGAGCAAACAAACGTTCACTTTACAAAGATATTTTAATTTTTTAAAACAAATTAATCACCCTGTCAAAATCCTTTGTGTTACGGCATTGAAATTCGAACAATACGTTATTTCAATGATTTTGGGTTTTTTTGAGACACCCTGTATTAGCAATTCCATTTCAATTCCCAGGGGCCTAAAATCTTTTATGCTTAAGAATTACAAAGTGATTTCTTAGGAAATTCCGAGGTTGCGTTTTTTTTTATACACCCTGTACACAGGGTGTCCCAAAACCCCCGATAACTATTGAAATAACGTATTGTTAGAATTTTAGTGCCTCAGCACTCTGCTGAACCCAAAGAATGACGTAAGTAAATTTTATGCATAAAGAAACCGTTTAAGAAGCTGTTTTTTAATTCCCAAGAGCAGAAAATCGTGCGCTTTACAAAGATATTTTAATTTCTTAATAAGTCAATATTTAATATATGCACCCTTGTCAATATTTTACAATGGTTTTGCGTTTTTTTGGGGACACCCTGTATATTAACATTCAACAATATCGGCAGGGCCGTGGAACTGGGGGGGGAGGGGGGGTGGCCACACTTTTTTTCAAAATAAAAAACTGCCCCTTTTCCAATTCTGGAATGGAGTGTGCTGTTTTCCAGGATTGAAAATGCCTTTTCCCAATAATAAGCAAAATCCATTTACTCATTTAGATTTGGTGAAAGATGCCTCACAATACTCCCAAACCCCTACAATCGCGATGAAGATGAAAATATGTAAGACTCCCGACTTTAATTTACAACCAGTGTATAAGAAATTGAAGATACCTTGACATATAGCATGGTCTGTGAGCAGAAGACATACAATCTATGATATAAAATGCTTACGTATTTTCATTTTTTCCTTTTTAATTAAACATTTCCATATAAATTTCCATATATAATTTTTTTATCTAACCCTAACGAAGTACAAATAACTACAAACATTACATGAAGTACTCCAGCAAACCCTCGATAATCATTTCACAAGGCTTAAGGACAACGTGCAAGGCTTAAGGAAAACTCGTCACAGAAAACTGTGTTCAAGAGAATTTTTCTGTGGAAACTTGTTAGGCAAAACATGCCCCTCTGTACGTTGTCAAATAAAAGCCTTCCTGAATGTTTAATATGATACGTGGCATACCATACGACCATCATGTTCTTGCAGTCTTCCTGAAAGACCTACTTCTGAGATATGGATTGTACTTTATGTAAAGCATAATAAATTCCTTTCATAGCCAGAAGTTGTTCATGAGTTCCACGTTCTACAGCCCGACCTCGTCTGATTACAACAATACAGTCCGCATGTTGAATGGTTGACAGACGATGTGCTATTACCAATGTTGTTCGACCTACACTTGCGTTGTCCAGGGCTTGTTGCACTACCTGTAAAAAGACATTATGGGTGGGTTTTAGTTAGCGATATGGTGTCACATATGGCGCTAAATTCAAATGTATTGACACTTATTGGAGTGAGCGTTTTATTGTTGCCACCATACACAAAGAGAACAATTTTAGTTCCTCCAATAACCATCTTTAATCATCATGCACTGCACTGTCTCACTCAGTGTGTAGACAATCCAGAAGAAATGCCTTGAATAAATGTTTCAACAAGTAGCATTTCACCTTTTCACTCTCCGTATCCAAGGCTGAAGTTGCTTCATCCAGTAAAAGTATTTTAGGATCACGAACCAATGCTCGTGCAATGGCTATTCTTTGTTTTTGTCCTCCTGATATAAGAGTACCCTTGTCACCCACCATCGTGTCGTAACCCTGGAATGATTCACCAGATCTACATTAGTTTATAATGAATGTCCATTCTTTCTCTCCTTTCTTTCCTTCCTTCCATTTTCCCTCCTTTCATCCCATATTTATCCCATTTTATCCTTTCCACCATCTCACTTCCCATTGTCCCCGCCCCTCCACCTTTATTCATTCCTTCCTCTCCTCCCTTATCTCCATTCGTCCATTTATTACCTCATCCCTTCCTCCTCCCCTCCCTCCCTGCTTTTCTTTCTTACCTCCTGTTTTTCTCTTCCCTCCTTATTTCCCCACCTCCCCCTTCACTCCCTTCCTTCTTCCTCTTTAATCTCTCTTACCATAAAAAAAACTCTCACCTTTGGCAAGCTCGCAATAAACTGATGGATATTGGCTGACCTGGCAGCCTGTTCAATTTCTTTATCACTGACTTCTCTTGTAGTATCACCATAAGCAATATTTTCTCTGATGGTCATGTCAAATAACACTGGTTCCTGAGATACTATACCAATTTGATGACGTAACCATTTGATGTTCAGATCTTTTACATTATGAGCATCCATTGTCTAAAAGTAGTTGAAGCACTATAACTTACAAACACTTTGTGGGTTTCAATAAGCGTTAAAAGACAGCAGTTGGCGGTCACCTTGAAAACTGTCAAGACTTATACAGCAAATGACAACCTAATTAAATTCGTGATCCTTGCATCAAAACAATTAATCTTACCACACTTCCGGAGCTTACGTCATAAAACCGTTCGACCAATGAGATGGTAGTACTCTTGCCACAACCACTTGTACCAACCAATGCTACAGTCTGACCTGGCTTCACGGTGACATTCAGATTACGTAATACTTTGATTTTACGTCGAGTTGGATATCTGAAACCGACTTCATTTAACTTGATTTCGCCTTTACATTTCTCCTGCAAGAATCGAAATATCTCATAAACAATACATCTTATGGATCTCTCGTCTTTAGACTAATATCATACTTACAGGTTTCAAACCCTCTTCTGATTGGTTGTCAATGGACGGAACAGAATCAATAAATGTAAATACTTTCTGTGCGGCGATTTTTGCTTTGGAATAATCAGGCGTCATGGAACTGGTTTGACCAGCAATCAAGCCGACTGAGAGATACGTGAACACCGTACTATATCATAAAATTTGAATGTTAGAAAAAGCTTTACCGGCAGAATTAACAATACCCGCAGAATTAACAGCACCCTTATTCCTTCCTTCTTCCCTCCCTTCCTTCCTCCCTCCTCTCTCCCCCATCCTGCCTTTCTCCCTCCCGACTTATTTGAAACACAAATGCTTACGTCATCATGTCTTTCAGCGTGATGTCATAGTCTACCACCAGCGTGGCGCCATAACGAAACGAAGCAGCAAAAGTTAGATTTACAATACAGAAAGTGGACCCAGTTGCCAGACCAGCAAAATGGCAAATTTTCTTTGCTTTTCTATTTGGAAATAAAATAAAAGTTACATAATTTCATAACACATAATAAACATAATAAACATAATAAACCAACAATTTCATAACACATGTTTGATATATATAGCTGGTGCTTAAACTAAATGTCATTGGCTTATTTGTGGTCACTAACTATATCCCTAGGGAGCGTGTATATTATGTCCGTTGCCACCCTGTTCATATTTTCAGGTAACGAACATGCTTAGTTATCACTGCTATGATAATGTACAGTAAGCATTGAATAACAAAGCATTTATAATTGATATGCGGGTCAGTGAATTGGACAGGCAATGGACCTACACATGCGTTAGTAGATTATTTATCTCCTGAAAGGTTTGCAAATTAATACGAAACGATAAGCTATTGGACCTCCAGGTTTACGATGACGGTTAATTCTCACCTGTAAGGCTCGGCCATTGCTGTACGATATCGTTCAAAGAATTCCTCCTCTCGACCTAAAGATGCGACTGTTTGAATATTGGATAATGTCTCTTCTGCGACCTGTAAGGGAAACAAAGAACATTGTTTTGCTAGTGTACAAAGTCACAGCGAACATTCCACTATTGATGACACAGCGGTTGCTACATGCACCCTTCATCTCGACGTGCGGGATTCTTGTAATATACGCTTGTCTGATTATAATTTCACCTCACTCACATGTGGGATAACTGGTCACAGTTTGACTCTACACCTCAGGCTTTGGGATGGCCCTTACTGGACCTCATTTTAAAACTGATAGAGCTATCCAGTAGAAATAAAGTTGATTTAATTTATTGTATCCAGCATAGATAAAATTATTCTTATTACGACTCCAAGATCAACTTCGCTCCGAGACTCCCGGATTACCTTGCCCGCGTCTTCTTCCAGATTTCCTCGGGTACTAGCGCCCAGAGCAGTCATGAAAAACACCCCAGACAATAGCATAAGAGGTGCAAATGACGTCATCACTAAACTTAGTTTCCAACTGGTGACGAAGCAAACAAGCAGACCTCCAATAACGGATACAAGACTGGATGAAATGAAGCCCAACTGAGAACCGGTTGCCTAGGAAAGCACAAGGACATATGTTCGTATACAATATTTTAGCAACAGTTTAACTCCCTATTAAACGGATACCTTTGGGACCTCACAATGTGTCTGTTTAACGGAGTTGTCTGCTTTATAATAGAGGTTATAATAGTAGTGTAATAATAGCAACCACGGCTCTGTGTAAACAATTAAGAAGACTAACATCTCTACCTACCCCTTGAACTGCGGACACTTCTGTGGACAGCCTGCTACACAGAGCTCCTGTGCTGTTCTTCGGTTTGTCAAAGTAGGAAATTTCCTGAAGCAAAAAAATATCTTGTGAGGAAATCTTCTTAAAATTTTGACTAAATATTAGTCACAGATAGATCAGCTTTATCACATGAGCAGTTTTTAAGGAGATGTGTGTCTACAGTTTCAGGGGGTTCACATTTTCACGACCAGCCCAACCGTTACACTAAAAATGCCATGGTATTTGTTGACACAACAGTACCTGTCTGAGAACAGCCACGAATGACCATTTTCGTAACCGTTGTGTGAGAGCCTCTCCTGATTTGGCAAACATCCAGTTCTACAGGAATATACAAATCTAGTCGACTCAAAAAGTACAAATTTAACAACACATCTATTTTAAGTTTCGGAATAACATTAGTTTTATATTTGCTGAAACTATCAGCCGGTAAAGGATTCAAAAAGTACAAATATTGCATAATTTGTATAGAATTATTCTAGATACGGGAGAGTTGATGAGAGTTGGCAAGCGAGAGTTTGCATAAGAGCTTTCTCTACTCTCAAGCCCTGATTAATGAGAACAAGAGTTGATAAGAGTTTGAACCAAACCAAAGTTAATGAAAGCCTATGACAATTGGCGTTCAAATGCGAACTACAATCATCACTCTCATCCTCAATTGACAAGACGAACTAAAATAGCACTGGCAAGAGTCCTGAACTATAAAATAGTTCGAAAGCTTTGCAATGATAAGTACATATGGTGTTTCCCACAAACCGAAACATATACTATACAGATTACTATCCACAGAACTTCTACAATAAAACTCACTTGGAGAAATATTCCGACACCACTACCTATTCCCAATGCGAAGAAAACCATGGACCATTTCACTGAAACGTCCTCCATTTCTTCTCGTTCAGATGGAATTTTAGGATCATAGGTAAATGCCTGTAATGAAAAGCAGCATAAGAGGCTTTCAACACAAATGGTCCAAACTTCGAAGTGTTTTACAGTGATTCAAACCCACACCACTGCAGCTTTTTATTGTAGAATACTTCCAAGTTAAAGATATCATTTTCAGGTAGTTCAAACCCAAACAACGGTAGCTATTGTAGAATACTCCCTACACTGGTATTGCGCGTTTGAAATATCTTTTTCAGATAGTTCAGAAACGAACTACAGCAGCTTATTGTGGAATTCTACCTACAATGGCCATCCAAAGCGAAGAAAATACAGAAGTAACAAACGTCAAATGAACGAACCTCAAACACGCCTCCTATGGCAATGCCATAGACACAAGGATTCGATCCAAACAATGCACTACCGAAACAGCCAATCACAATGTACCAGAATTCGGGCGCATTATATTTCAAGATTTTGAAAAACGACATCGGTTTTACAGCCTCACCTTCCTCTGTCTGAAAATAGATGTAATTAATTATGTCCTTCTGAACCATATTCTTTTTCTCATACATTTCTCGCACAATTTATCCTCATTCGTCAGTTTGTCCATGTTCCCCTCCCTTCCTCTCTTCCCTCCTCACTTCTCCCTCCCTCTTTCGCCCCTGTCTTCTTCCTTCCCTTCCTGCTTTTCTCTACCTCCCGTTTGTCTTGTGTTTTTCCCCTCCTTCCATTCTCGTTTCCTTCCTCTCTTACCCATCCTTTACTCCCTCTTCTTTTGCTTTCCTCCCCCTTCCTTGCCCCCTCCCTTTCTTCCCCCCTCCCTTCCCTTCCCTTCCTCTTTACTTCCTCCATTCCTTCCTTTCTTCCCTCCCTCCCCTCCTTCCTTCCATTCTTTTTCACTTTCTTCTCCTCTGCCGATCCTTGCTTCTTTTCATCCTCTCTCTTCTCCCCAAACCTTCTTACCACAATTGTCTTGGTGTGCCCATCAACACTGCTGCTGCATGTGAATGATCCAAGTTCAAACACACCATCCACTAAAATAGCGATTCAAAAAGTGGTGTAATTACAATTATTATTCTGTAACAGGAGTCTCAGTGGACAATTTATTATCCTTCGCAGCTGAATGAATTCTTTCTGCCATTCAACCAAATATCAAAGAAAAACCTTGAACACATTACCTTCCTCAAGTTGAAAAGGTTCATTGGCTTCTTCTACATCATCTTCTACATCATCACTTTCATTATAAGATCTGTCATCTACAGCTTTCTGTTCACAAGCAGATTATAATTTCACATGTGAGAAGAATGTTTCCTACCAGACATAGTAGGTTTACCATAAGTGCCCCGGATTTCTCCTGCAGTAACATTGAACCAATAATAAGGGATGGCTCTTATACAACCTCCAGGGAAAGCAGTTTAGAACTTATACAGTTATCTAGTATAAGTAAAGTTAGTTCAGTTAGTTTTCCTCCTGTATCACAATAGATGAATAAGGATGATCCTTAGAGAACAGTTTCAAACTGGTACAGCTATGCAGTACGGTTTAGCTCAAAGCACTACATTCTCCTCAGACTTGTCTGCAATACACTGAGTTTTCTTGTCACACCTGAAATCTGACGAGAGTTTTGTAAATTCCATTCGGTATCGCCATCAACTCTTCATGAGTTCCAGTTTCCGCCATGTGACCTTCCTTCACAACTACTATAATGTCAGCATTTCTGATTGTTGATAAACGATGTGCTATCACAATTGTTGTACGACCTTCGCCTGCCTAAACGCATATTGTAAAACATACAATCACAAAGTTAGTGGCACAACGTCTAGCCGACCTCAGGGTTCGTAGTCTCCAAGACCGAAAAAATTCCAAGACTTTCAAAGTTTTTTTCTGCCTATTTTCAAAGACATTTCAAAGACCTTTGAGAGCAATCAGGTGTCGAAAAATTGCGATGTATTAGCACCATTTTTACCAAGTAAACCCGTCAAATCACATCCTAAAATGCACTTTTTCGTCGATATTTGCGAAAATCTTGCTTCAATCAATCTCTTTTATTAGCTAGGAAATCGTATAATACTTATAATCAAATAATCACTAAATAATTTAAAGGCTTTCTTCGCTTTTTCACACAATTTAAAGACTTTTCAAAGACCTTAAAGACCTGCATTCAAATTTAAAGACTTTCAAGTATTTCAAAGACCGCTACGAACCCTGCGACCTGCAGTAATCTGAGTGAGAAAATGATGTTAGTTCGTGTCGTCATATGTAGTAGTACTTGAAGGCTTTTCCTTACAAGGTTTATCACTTGAAATACCACTTACTCTATCCAGAGCCTCTTGTACGATAGCTTCGCTCTCGAAGTCCAAGGCAGACGTGGCTTCGTCTAACAATAATATCTTGGGATTCCTTACTAAAGCTCGCGCTATGGCAATCCTTTGTTTCTGACCACCGCTCATTTGTGTACCACGTTCACCACATTGCGTTTCATAACCCTAGTGCATGGAAAAACAAGACTTGAAAATGCAATTTCCTAACTGAAACCAAGCAATTGCAGCAGTCCAAAACTATCAAGTTCTGTTACCTTTGGAAACTGTGAGATAAAACTGTGAGCATTTGCAGCCCTGGCGGCTTTCTCAATTTCTTGTTGCGTGACTCCTTCTCGACCGTATGCGATGTTTTCAGCAATTGTTGTTGAAAATAAAATTGGTTCTTGATTCACTACACCAATATGACTTCGAAGGTGACTGACATTTATATCTTTTATGTTCTTGCCGTCAAGTAAAACCTGAAAGAAAAGCGACAAGTATACTAAAATTAAACTAACCCTATTCTAATACCAAATAGCCCTATATCAGTTCTGAACGGGTTTTTTACTGGAGGTTCAGTTCTTGATATACGGTCTCATTATAGGAGGAAACATGAACTAAACTCATTTTATTTATCATGGATTGTTCCACCAGTTCTAAACTGTTCTTTTTACAGGGTCACATGCAAACGAGTCTCACTTTAATATTGACCTGGTGTTACTGCTGGAGAAATCAGAATAGCAGGGAAAACAGACGCTGTTTCGGAGTCACAGGGTGCATAGGGTGCAGGCCTTTGTACGAAACGTCGAATTTATTTTTACATTTTCAGGTAGCTGCACCATACACATACATTCGTAGTTTGCGCTACAAATTTATTTCCTTATAAACCTCACAATCAACAAAACGATTGAAGGTGTAGACAACAGGACTGAGGAGTCCCAAATTAAGTCCTACCTACACATTACATTGACATTGTAAAACAATAGAGACCGGGTTATAAACTTTAACAAAGCTACATCACAAAATTATACAACACATGATCAATACGGCTTTACACGTAGACGGATAGGTCAGGCTAAAAACTTCAACATATATAAGCTGAGCAGACTTACCGAGCCTTTTTGAGGATCATAAAATCTGGAGATAAGTTTAACGACAGTACTTTTCCCACAGCCACTTTCTCCGACAAGAGCAATACGTTTACCATGTGGAACTTTCAGACTGAAATCTTTTAAAATCTGGTAAAGAAGATTATATATTAGTACATCAGAGCCGTCGTCAGGAAATATGATGTTGAAAGCTTTTTGTAGATGGAAATTGCGAAAATTATATACATATTTCAGACCCAACCCCATACTTGCCGTAAACCAGATTTTGAAAAATCATAATATCTGCATTACCTGCACAGTAGGTCTTGAAGGATAGACGAAATCAATATCTCGAAACTCCACATCACCTATGACATCTGGTTTCATGCCCGCAGCAGATGATGGGTCGATTGCAGAGTTCTAAATATTAAAACAATGGTATCTTTAGGGCATGGTCAATTATAAGTATTGATAAGGTTCGTTCACACTTGCAATTTTTGCTGCGATTTAATTAAGGTGCGATTTTCTTCTTCTGATGGATGTGAACGAGTGGATGAGTTATGAATGTTCAGATGAGCGTACATATAATCAGAGCATTCACAAGCCATCTCACTCGTTCACATGCATCAGAAGAAGAAAATCGCACCTAAAATCGCAGGAGAAATTGCAAGTGTAAACGGGCCTATATATTCCCTTGGGAGGGTCTAAGGTAGAGAAGTGTATTCTACAATATGATGCAGTGGTTCGGTGTGTAAACTACCAGTGCAGGTAATCTTACAATAAACTGGCATGGCTTGTATCTGCACTACCTGGAAAAGATATCTCAAACTTGGTGGTCAAATGCGAATTAAATTCAGTTACACCCGAGTCAAAGCTATAACAAAATAAAAAGATTCTTACTCTCTCGATGATATTGAAGATGGTATAGCCGACGCCTCGGGCAGCCGCCAAGGCTTCCATGCAGGGAGCTCCTTGTCCTACCATTACTGAACCCAACATTACCATGTAAAACACCTGGAAAGAAAGAGAGATCCTTGATCTTTTACCGCCACTGTACATCAAATTCTAATTTTATTTATACCGGATATCTCTGTCATTTCAAAACAGTTCTTCTTAAAAGTCCAGCAAGGATTATGTCTGATTAGTCCAACGGAGCAGACAGAAAATAGAAGGAAAATAACCAAGCATACATAACATTACATACACTAGCAACATCGCCTGGTTCTGCATCACCATCTCTGATCAACCTTACACCATACCTAAAAATACAAGAAATATTTTTCACCAGTCGAAGGAATATTTAGTAAAAATGACGAATATTTATAGTTGGATTACTACGGTATAAATTAGGGCATATACTATAATTTGCATGCAATTTGGACCATAGTGGATGAAAGAAAAAGAGACTAGTCGCATTTCTAACATTGACTTGGATAATTTGCTTTAAAATATTCAGGTCCACGGTGACTAAAAATATCCTACCACAAAGAGAAAGCGTAGTTTCCAAGAGTAGTTACTTGAAATATTCCCATTCCAATACCGATTCCAAATCCTTTGTTTATTCCAAATTTACAAGACTTAGTCAAATGAATGTCGTACCTAAAACGAAACGAAATTATATATACTGTACAGTCTTTAAGTACTGCTGGTCGTGCACTGCTTTCACCCCTGACTGTCAAAATTTTGTCAAAAAAAAAAATGTTGTCAAACAATTATCTTAGTAACGGCTCTGATGCTACACTTATACCACTATTAACCTGAATATAATATTGAATGCTAGTTATTCCCCGATATCACATACGATTGTTACCTGAATTTTCAATCAAACTTATCTGACATACTTTCAACACAACATAAATTATACGTTACTTTTTAGTTTGTTCTGCCTCTCCACCAAATGCAGCGACAGTTCTGATCGAAGAAATACTTTGTTCAGCTACACTCCCGGCTTTCGAGTAGGCAGCAAGTTCTTTTGCAGCAAAACCACCGATAATCTACAACGGAGTTGAATACTTTGTTGTCGTGTTGTCTTGTAGGTTCCATTTGTTTGTTTGTTTGTTTGTTTGTTTGTTTGTTTGTTTGTTTGTTTGTTTGTTTGTTTGTTTGTTTGTTTGTTTGTTTGTTTGTTTGTTTGTTTGTTTTGTTTGTTTGTTTGTTTGTTTGTTTGTTTGTTTGTTTGTTTGTTTGTTTGTTTGTTTGTTTGTTTGTTTTGTTTGTTTGTTTGTTTGTTTGTTTGTTTGTTTGTTTGTTTGTTTGTTTGTTTGTTTGTTTGTTTGTTTGTTTGTTTGTTTGTAAAGGTAGTGTTCCATTGTAGATAGTATTCTACAATGAGCTGGTGAATCCTTTTTTGTGTCTGATGGCTACATTTTTTTTGTTGAATTTTGTTAAAATAAGATAAAAAATATGAACAAGCTTTCGTTGATATGGATGCAACTACCTGAAAATATAGAAGGAAAATTTCGACGATAAGGAAAACTCCAGACGAAAGGCCTTCGCTCGAAATGTCAAATTCTCATTATATATTTTCAAGCAGTTGCATTCTTACCAACGAAAAGCTTGTTCATTTTATTGGAATACCTGCACTGGCAAAGACAGTTCAACATAAAGTATACTCCGTTTTGTCTAGTTCGCACATTACCTTTGCTAATACTCCGCCACTTAGTGCTACAATAGGTAACACTGCCATCATAACCAACGCCAGTTTCCATAAATAGCAAAATCCCAAAATATATCCCGCAAAGAATGCAGAAAAGCTAAAGATAAGTCGACCAAATTTTGAGCCTATGCCATCGGCGAGCTTATTTAAATCTCTGAAAGAAAACGTGAAATGTTGGTATGTATATGTGGTATACACATATAAAAACGCACAAGTTGTTACAAGTCTGCAAACAAGTTGTTACAAATCTGTTCACAAGCTGTCAACAAGTTGTGTTCGCACTGCTTATTCCCAGTTGTTGGAACAAGCTTGAAACAAGCTGTTAACAACTTATAATAAGCTTGATGGCATTATCAGACTTGTCACAAGGTTGTTGTAACACGTTTGAGACAGTCATGATGTAACAAGAATGTTACAAGGTCGGCGACACACGGTTGTAACAATATTGTTATATCATGACTGTATCGGGCCTGTTGGAACAACCTTGCAACAAGTCTGATAATATCAACAAGGTTGTTACAAGCTGTTCACAGATTGTTCCAAACTTGTTGACAACTTAGGACAAGCAGTGCGAACACAACTTGTTGACGGTTTGGTGGCAGACTTGCAACAAGATGTGAGGTTTTTACGCGTGTATATGCTTATCATTTTGCCTCAGTTGCATGTATGAAGAGTGCTTTCTACACCGAAGGATTCCCCTGGGTACACCGCACAGTTTGCTTCTACAGAACCCTAGATGTGGACATCTGAGAAGAACTGATATATTTTCCAGGTAATATATAGGAAGTTACAGTGAAACTCCACCTTACGGCCACCTCGTTGATACCCCTCTTTATTGCGGCCATTTATTTTTGTCCCTGAAAAACGCCAAGAGCTTGACCGTATTAACCACTGTAGTTCAGTTTAGGCTTCTTTCTATACTAAACTGGATAAACAGGGAGATGACCTTTATTGATGACCATATATCAGGATACCACAGTTTATATAGTAAGTATTTGGGGTGTGCTAATAATCCTTATAACTTGCAGTCGTAGATTAGGAAATGAATAGATGGCTCACTCCTTTGATGTTTTTGACGCCGCCGGCACCCACCCATGTTCTTGCCAGAGTAATGGTGGCCTAGCAAGAACTATAATAAAATGTATTGTGAAATTGACATCCGTGCTACTAAATCCTGTATTTTTCCACTTTCGGGGGTTTGAATGGAAAAATAAATCAGAATTATAAAAATACAGGATTTAGTAGCACCGATGTAAATTTCACAATACATTTTATTATAGTTCTTGCTGGGCCGCCATTACTCTGGCAAGAACATGCGTGGGTGCCGGCAGCGTCAAAAACATCAAAGGAGTGAGTCATCTATTCATTTCCCAATCTATGTTGCAGTTGAGAGCTGAATTGCGAAGGACGCAGCTTAATTTAAGGTTACAGGACACCTTTTTTTGCGTTTTGAGGAAAATCGCTACTGCGCGCTCAATATCAGTCCCATTTTCATCAAATTTTTACCAAATGTTCTCCAGTGCATGCAAAATATGGTAAAGTTGTAAAATTAATAAACAATAAAATAATGTAAGAATTATTCAGGAAAATCTTAAATCGCGGTACCGTTACGCTTTTGAGTTATGCTCCTGCTGGTTTTAAGTTATATTTACGAAAATATCATTTTTATACAGTAAAATAGTTGTTCTAAAAAATTGTGTTCGGAAATTTTTGTTTATTTCGTCATTCCGCTGATATGGCGATTTCTTTGACGACTGCAATATATTTCTGAATTGTTTGAGTGAATTGCTCTTTATTTTTAAAATATCCAAAATTAAAAAAAAGCCGAACACAATTTTGAAACTGACGTCTTTAGCTATGTCCTGTGAAAATTTGAGAAAAATTGGTTAAAACCCGCAGGAGCACAACTCGTTTGAAAATCAGTAATTACCGTAAACTTTTTCGGGAGAAAATTGAATTTGAATATTACATTTTCAATGTTTTTCTTATTGCAGCGAAATGTATTTTATTAAATAACTCTGCGAGTTTTCAACATTTTTCGTTCAAACTTGGTCAGATAGTAGAACTAACTAGTCTGATGCTTTCATGGAAACCAATAAAAAGATTTTAGGCAAAATTAACACTCAAAGGTGTTCTGTAACCTTAACCTGATCGAGTCGAAGGCTTTCTAAGGGCGCCTCTGGCAGTCACCTTATGACTCATGTCTGATCACGGAGAACAGCTACGATGGAAGGGTCAGTTAGGGGGATAATCCCAACCCACCCTGTCAACATTCCCTGTGGAAGGAAACCGGAGTACCCAGAGAAAACCCACGACTTTCGGTAGAGCGTTGACGGACTCTTTTCACATAAGTGTTATTAGTCCGATATGAGGATCGAACCCACAAGGTGAAAGGCACTTGCTCAGACGAATGCGCCACCGAAGATCCAGTTTAGAACTGATAGAAATCCTCCTAAGATCCAACAGGCCTCTGTACTATAATACATACTCTGTAAGTCTAGTTCCCAGCTCGCCACTTGGATGAGTATCAAACCAAGCAATCTCCTGATGGATGATATTTCTGAACATTGCTAGTCTCATTTTGTGGACTTGTCTCTCAGCGGTCAGGCCCCAAAGTCCTAGTCCCATCCAGGCAAACAAGAGATTCAGAAAGGCAAACGCAACGTACCACAAGCATACGGATGTCATGCTGTCCTCGAGATCAACTGGATTTGTGCAGTTCGTTCGTAGACACTGGACAAAATCTACAAAATCATCTGTGACCGATCCCATGAGGATAAATTGTGTGGGAGTTAGAACACCATAAGCTATAGATCCAAATGTTCCCAAGATCATGAGGATAACATCAACGTTGTCGCGGAAACAGAACTGTAAGGAAACAAAAGTGGGATGTGATTGTAAGATACGTTGGTGTGCATAATATAATATAGGCTCTATGATGTGATTGAGACGTTAGCCAGTTAGATAATGTCACGGGCTTTCACGTCATTTTATAATGGGATAACGTCATGTCTGACGAAGCTGATGACGTCACTCGATTATGACGTTGATGACGTCACTTTATGTTGATCGTAAATACGTCATGTCATGATTGTACTGATGACGACATTTTATGAGAATGAGGATGACGTCATTCTGTAACAAGAGTGACAAGGTCACATTATGAAGATGACCTTTTTCATGATAATTGTGATGACGTTATAATTATGATGGTAATATCAATATAACGAATTGATAACGTCACTTTATAATTGTGTTGATGATGACACCTATGATAATGGTGATGCCATCACTTTACAATGGTGGCAATGACGTCACTCGAAGATTATGACGTCATTATGTGATAACGTCACTCCATGATGATGATATCACTGACATGAATGGTACAGTATTAAACTTAAAGATGACAGTGGTAAGACGTTATGGAAATGCAACCAAGATAACAACATACCAATTGTTTAAATGGCACCATGGAAATTTTCTCATGTTTTCTGCAAGAAATTAAAAAAAAATTTGGTTGTTAGAAGACGTTGCGACCTACAATGAATTTGTACTGATCATGTCGGACCCCAGTTGAAATAAGCGACACAGTGCTCAGTCCAACCTCGCAAACCAGGGTCTTTACTTCCGCACGGCGCTACAGCAGCGCCGTGAGGAAGAAAAGACCCTGGCTTGCGAGGTTGTGGTCAGTCCAGTACAAATTTATAATTGAAAAGAGGAAACATGAACTTACTCATCTGCAGGTGCAAATCCGATGTCAGGAGCAGGCGTATCATGCTTCCCAGATGGCAGCAGTAACTGTGTTTTCTCCGAAGCCATAATAAACTATATGCAAGCCAATGTGAACTGAAAATAAAATATGTTCATTCAAATGTCATAAACAGGCTGAGATACGTCCCGTGCCAACAAAGTGGATCATGTGAAAGTCTGCACCCCCCATAATCACGAGAAGCTGTGGCTACAAAACATATGGACAAACATTTAATCATAGTTGATGAAGTGGGTCAAGTGGGTAGCATTTCCATGTTTGAGAAACAGAATATAGACTGAAGTGTATATTATACATTCCGCCTAGTCAAGGCAGCTTACTGATATTTGACATATACCTTGCCATGTGGGGAAAATACAATAGTTAAAACAGTACATTCAAGAAATAGCGTATTACAAAGCTAAATACTTATATAAGTTTCACAAACGGTATAAAATTTGCATGGTGTCTGTTGTATACATGAAATAATTCTACGGCAAAGCACACCAAACGAATTCTAATTCTGGACGCCCAACAGTATGACAGTATTTACAGAATTATATACTTATACACTGTACACTTATTAAAAATTTTACAGCCGTTGTACATACCTCGTCGATATTGGATCAAACTGTAGTAGTGCTATGGTTACTTGCCAGGCTGTAGTCTGGTGAACATTTTCAACTGTCAACCGTGGATAAAAACGACAAGAAAATTTAACTACCAGCATAAAATTCAACACAATAGAAACTTGACAATAGACAGCGAGTACAATGGCGCACTTATAATTGCAAATTATGCGATAACTTCCCATTGCTTTCCAATACTAATGTGGTACAACCCGTCTGTCTACAGGGTGTCTCAAAAAAACCCAAAATCATTGAAATTGACGTATTGTTCGATATTCAATGCCCTAGCACTAAGTTAATCCCACGAGTGCATAAA